CCCTGTTGCCCAGCAGGATCCTAGACAGGATGGGGACCCCCCAAGGGGTGGAGGGCCCAGGGCGGTCTGGCCCAGGCTTTGAACCCATTCACTAGAATAACCGCCCTAAAAAAAGAAATGGCAGTGGGGGAGTGACCAGGGGCCCGGTCCAGCTCGTCAGGAGACGCAGGGCCTTGCAGAGTCACAAACACCTGCCTGCATCTCCCATTGTCCTGCAGGTGGGCGGAACCGCACCCAGTGCAGCCGGTGGTGGGGGTGGGGCCAGCTGGGCTTGGCCTTGCAAACTGCACACCTTCTAGGAGCTGGCTCCAGACCCGAAGCGGAGGTGGTTTCCCCCGGGGCTGCCTCCGGACCCGGAGGGGTGGTGTTCAAGGTGGACTCCCCAGGGACCTGCCAAGGCCTGATGTTCTGAGTGGGGCTTTGGCTGGAATGTGGCCTCAGTCTCTGGGTGGACAGGTGGGTGAGGCCCTGTCCAGTGTTCTGGGCCATTCTGCTGTGCACAGCCCTCATCCCCTGGGCTCTGGGGACCCTGGCCCCTTGCTCTTCTCCACAACTCAGCAGGCACCGCCCTGGGCTCCTGGGCTGACTTCCTACAGGAGGAGGAGGCTGCCCCCCGGAGCAGCCTGGGGGCTACAGGATCGGGACTATTTTAGTAAAAAAAGGGGTAATGGGCTCAATTTGAACCCCAAGCTGGAGGTACCAGGCAAAAACCCCAATTGGTGAAACACTGGGCCTGGCTTCTACTGTAAGTTTGGGGGCTGCACCCAGGGCCCAGGGTGAGGCTGGTGGGCCCAGCTTAGCCCCCAATCGCAAGGGCTGGCTCAGTGGCTTCACCCTCAGGCTGGCACAGAGCAGGGCCCTAACAAGGGGGCTGTGGGAGCAGCCGGGGCTTTCCTGGAGCCTCTCTCTAGGACGGATGGGAGTGAAACCGACACCCCGATATGCAACCACGGATTATGATGGAAGGAAGGAACGAGCACTCAGAAAACAAAGAGGGGGCCTAGCGCAGGGCATGGAGGAGGCGCTGCCGGGAGACTCCTGAGCACTAGGAAGCAGGGGAGACAGCGGGCGGGGATGAAGGCGGCTTGGGAGCTGGTCGCCGCGGATGCACAGCCCCGGAATGTGCTAAATGCCACGGAGTTGTTCACTCGACACTGGTTGCTGTCAGGTTACGTGAATCTCACCTCGATTTAGGAAAAAAGGCAAAAAAAAAGGAGAAAGAACCCAGCCCAAGTCAGTCTCTGCCTTTCTGGTCCGGAGGCCATGGCCCTGGGCCTGCCCCTGCCGCCCCGCACACCCCTCCTACCCGCTGGCCCCCACACAG